ACCATGACGTCATTGAAACCGGTTTTGCCAACTGGTATGAAACAGGTGCATGATTTTCTTTGACAACTAGACCCAGGAACCACAGGAGGTTGGTGGCACCTTAATTGGGGAGGACGGGCTTGTGGTAATGGCTGGAGTGGGAATAAGTGGAATGATATCCATTCGCTCCGTTCCAGCCATTTGTATGAGCCATCCTCCCCTCAGCAGCCTCCACTGCCAGGAACAGATCCAAATATATTAGACTTGTTTGACAAGTCAATATAGGTAATGTTCATAGCACACAAGTATTTGACGTTCACCTAGTTATGAGATATTCTTCAGTCTATTATCTGTTATGCTTCATGGTCATTGATCTCAATGCACTTATCTTGGGGATATTACAGTTTTCCATATTGTTATTGTATATGACAGTCAAATCATAACCCTAATTGCTCCTGTAAGTCGCTCTGGATAAGAGCGTCTGCTAAATGACTTAAATGTAAAATGTAAATGTAAATCAATAACAGAAATATTGAAAGTAAAATAAAGGCTTATCTCTTCAATGACATAGACAAGGAAAGATACACACACCCACTCCAATATAGATGGAAAGAGTGATATGAGAGATACCTTCAGGTTGTTCTAAACCTGCAAACTGCTGAGGGGGGATATTGCTAGACTTTTCAATTGGTTTAAAGTAGAGGGAGTATGCAGTAAAACTAAATTATGCAAATAACCATTATCCTAACTGATAAATTGAACATCTTCTACCACCAAGACAGATAATCCTCATCATCATCATCATCCTCATCATCATGTGTACGCTATACATTCATTTAATGTGGGTTATTTCACTATCTCAACCTTAATCAAATAAGCAGATGAGAATGAGATGCCAAGAGACAATACATATCTGCTCTAAAAAGAATTTGGAGTAGGTAAAATGTTGCACCTAATAAACTCTAACATGCACTCTATGGGTAATTACGGAAATAATGTCAATGTAATTGATTTAATGATACGATACTAAAACTTAAGATTGATTTCATAATGAGTAGGCTATAGACGAAACAGCATCAAACGAAAAAACCTACGGAATGTATTATGTTCACTACAATTACTAAACGATCCCCATGAATGTCATGTTATGGAATTTATGCTTTTATCTCATTTCAAACTTAAGAAACATCAAAATATAAATGTCTCACCTAATAGAAACAGAACGAGGTACAAATAAACCCACATCATGACGAATTAATATCCTAATTAGATTCAGAGTCAAGAATCTGTGAAAGCAGGGATCCGATTAAATTTTCTTCCTCTTGTAAACGTGTTGTAAATTCCTTTCCAAATCGTTAATTCCTGCGTAACTAACTGTAAGAATTTGAATATCCTCTGAAAAAACTCCAGTTATTACGGAACTCGGCTTTACAATTTCCCCGTCTCAATAATCCACCAATTTCAAAACACAAAAAATTTAATGTCAAAATCCTCTTGGTAAAGGAATTCAATCCCTTTAAGAAATTATTTCTGGTGTAAAGTGTACATATCGAATGAACTGTGGCATCTCTCCACATCAAGAGCTCTGATGATCCAGTTCGGAGCTCCCTGACTTGAAACGATACGCAAAGATAATTATTTGGCAACAATATTGATGTCAAATAACTTTTCACAATGACATTTCTCTGGAGGTTTATGGAAACTACAGCTACTAGCCTACGCAGGAGGGTCACTGCTGAGTGCAGACTTGACCAGACTTGACTCTCCAAAAGCCGCGCGTCCGCCTCTGACTTTCGTGCGAGTCTCTGCGCTTCTTTTTGAGTGTTCTGGAATCACAGGAGTTCATTTAATGAGCTTCGGGAAACCAGAAGAGGGCGATGATGATTCACTCGTTTACTGAAAAACGATTAACACCGCTATCTTTGCAAGAATATTGCTTCTCTGAAATTATTATGAGAGGAGTCCATCTTCCGGTTGACACAGCTCGATTAGGTCTACTCTGTTATAGCCTACGCATGGAAATTATGTTCAGTGGATTGTGACATTTCGGGAATCGGCTGTCTTTTATGTCATGCTTCCACAATCAGCTAGCTCATTCACTATAAAACTAATTTCATCTTTTAAAGTCAAGCCAGGACATGTGCCTGTTCCTGCACATCACTAAATGCGTAATAAATGTTATTTATTTGTCAGGTACTTTCATGAGATCACATTTACCCTACTTTTTCTATGTCAATTCCAGCTCATAACGTGTAGGGCTACACACGAAACTAACGTAGGCCTCCCAGTCAAACAGTTATGAAATGCAGTCTTCTCATATAGCAGAAATGATAACAACATGGTCATTCATTTCAGCTATATCCCATAATTTCATTTGATGTTGCATTAGAACCTTGGTCTCAAACATAGGGTTAAGGGACACAATGTATTGTATTGTATCAATGCCAAGGATGCCATGAAGTAAACGTTGAGGCTCCATTTTTCTAAATGTTCGAATTCTCAAGTCTTTCACAGATATGACTTGGTTCTGCTTCATTGCTTAAATAAATATTTAACAAATCTTGAAATCAAAGTCTCTATTTAGAGACAGGCACATTGACAAACTGCATAGCCAGTGCCTAATAATGATGGTAAACTGTCAAGCGGGCTTCTATCCCAAGAATAATAGGCATGTGTGTAATCTGAGAATCAGGCTCATTTTGACCTGGTGGCAAGGCTGATCTTCCCCCAGAGCTTTATTCCACTTCCATATGAATAATTGGATGATTCCAGTGGTGTGATGTGGATTAGCCCCACAATGCAAATCAGTGACTTAGCCCCAAAATTGTGAATGATCTTTTCACCAATAAATGCTCAATTTCTAATGCTGCACACACAAATCCTTTTAATGCAGTGCTCTGTCAGGCTATCAGACTCCTTGTCGACATGGTACACCATGGCTATCTCCATGGGTATATCATTGCACCATCGCAAAACATCTGCAGTGATTAGCAAGTAAAATTAGAGAGAACAGAGTCATACTGGATGTTGCCTAGTTTGCCAGACTTATAGGCTAGCTTCCCCATCATACGACCAGGAACCTCACTACACAGGCCATAAATCAGGCCATTAATTGAGTCAAACTCAATTGCTGAAGGGCCAATGGCCTGTGGGTTTTCACTCCTTCCTTGTACATTATTGATCAATTAAGGTCACTAATTAGTTACGAACTCTCCTTACCTGGTTGTCTAAGTCTAATGCTGTGTTCATAACCAAGTGGGAAGGTGGTAATTTCCAGTTGTGAAGTAGTAAATACGAGTTGGATGCATTCATATGCTTTGAACTCATTGAGAAACGCTGATTGGCTAATGGCAAACAAGCTGCATCAACAATAAACTAAACGTACAGCTATCATGCTCGCAAACAAATTATAGTGTTCAAAAACCATATTAATAGATTTCTTTTCATAAATAATGTTTTGCTGTTGCATTTAACTGCCAAAAATGCTGTTATCAAGGTCATTTCCTTAGAAGGTGATGTCAGAGGTCAGCATGTGGGAGAAGTTGGCGCTCAGGGATGATAGGCGAGTTTCCCACTAGTAATTACCAGTTCGAGGGGTGTTCAAGTGGATTTTTCTCAGTCCTATGTGGTAAATACCACCTTCCCACTTGGTTATAAACACAGGGTAAATTGGACACGAATTGAAAGGTAATAACGAAAACCAGTAGACACTTGGCCTTCCAGAAATGTTGTTTGACACCCCTGCAATAAATGTATCTGAGTACGAGAATGAGTCATTTTTCTCAAATATTTCTCCACCACGAACTGTGAGTGATATAAAATGAACATGGGTTCGTAAGTATTATTCACAAAATCTAACCATTTGACAATATGCAAATTAGTGCCACATTTATTCAAATGTCGATACAGGCGGTCCCTGGCGGCCTCCCCTCATACCGATGTTCGTGCCCTTTGGATAGACCACTAATTAATTTGAATATTGGAGTACAAAGAGTAGTTAAGCATAACTGATTAGATTAGGAATTATGGGGTAATTAATAAGTAACCTAGGGAGACCTGGCTTGAATGGAAAATATGATTAAATAGGCAGCCGTTTGCTACTTTCACTGCTCTTCCAGTCTTCCTGCTCTCACTAATATGTGTGCAATCCTGTGGACTAAATTCCCTTCAGTGACCAGCTAGCAGCTAAATTATGACTGACAATGAGAGTTATAAAGTATTGAGAAGAGAATATAGATTTGCAATGCATTCTCCAATTGTATTGTAACAATTGAATCTGTTTCAATCTATGAGAAGAATGTGTTTGTAAGTCACCCTTACAGTGGGCCATGATAAGGAGATGAACTGCAATCTGAGTTTTCAATGTGACCTTCCTTTGGCTCTCAGTGGTGGCTATTGAATGCTGAAAGCCATTTGTTTTACCGGCATTTTGGACAATGTCCATTTTATATCACATTACTTAAACTGAAATTACATTTCCTGGAGGCATTTTCATGTATTGTAAGTGCCCTGCACGGCTATGGGAGTATAGTATTTCAAACGCGTACATGTTATGAAACACTTTGAAGATCGGAAATTAAACAAGTAAAACTAATTTCACTTCAGAGCCTCAGTTGACTTCTTGTAATTTGCTGTAGAGAAAATTAGTTGCCGCAGAAATATTTGATCAAATATTGACACTGATTGTGAATACCAAAGTAGTGAAAAACCGGCCCAAGTTTTTGTCCAAGGTCCAAAGTTAATGTCCATGAAAACACACCAGATCAGTCACCAACATAATTTAATTTACAGAGCACGGTACCTTTTGATGATGATATGACATAGATAGATTTGTCTACATTTTAACAGGATCTAAGGAACTGGTGCTGCTCAGTTCTGTGAAATCAATAAATCAATTTGATATATTTATAAAGCCCTTTTTACATTAGCAGTTGGTAAAAAAAACGTAATAGTGCTATAAAAATCCTATGTATTACTTTATTATTATTATTATTATTATTATTATTATTATTATTATTATTATTATTATTATTATTATTATTATACCCCAGCCTCCAAATAGCAAGCAGCAGAAGTACAGTGGCAAGGGAAAACTCCCTAGAAGGAACAAACCTCGAGAGTCTTAGCCTCAAGAGGAACCAGACTCAGAGGAGATGGCCTTCCTCCTCTGGCTATACCGAAAAGGGTCCAAGAGCACTGCAGTAGTGAGAGATGTTATCTTAACAGCATCAGAAAAGACATCAATGGATGGAGTAATTTCATAAGCAGAATGCTGAAGGGGTTGTGACGTTGGCATTTTCAGCGCATCTCATTGAACACTCCATGAGTTCCATATGGAATGTTGACTGGAACCTCTGCCCGGCCCAGCTCCGTGAAGGTCTTGGCATCCAGAACCAGCAGGAACGTGCTTTTCTCCTGGAAACAGAAATATAGAGATGGTTGTACAATGTAATGTCAAAGGTAATTTATCTATGGTGAATATACATTTTTGTTGTTGTTTTTGTTGTTGTTGTTGATTATGTTGTTGTTGTTTACAGTTCTGGGTGTGATGATGATAGACATGACCACACCATCGTCCTCCTCTGTTGCATTGGGTGCAGGAACAAACACAGGCTCAGATGGGAACAGACCAGGGTGACGCCACGCCTACACAGAGAAAATGTCAATATGTCCTTAAAATTGGACACAGCAGTAGGTCACTAAAAGCAGGGTTAGCAGTCTAGCTGATTCACCATTGACTCTGAAGGTGCTATTGAGCTGTGGATAATTTGTATTTTTCAGAGGGAGAAAGTTAGAAAAATAAAAACCTTAAGTTTCTTGGTCTCCAGATCCATCTTCAGCAGAGAGTCGCTGACCACGTGTCCGAAGCCACATGCATAGTAGTAGCGATATGGACGCGCGTTGTAATGGGCATAGTTGATCTGTGGGAACTCCAGGCCACCGTACTGGAACAACTCTTCATCATAGAGCTCCTCATGTGTACAGAGCACCTGCAGTACACGCCAAAGAGAGAAAGACATGTCAGGTAGCCATGACAACAAAAACACATTTTATTTTCATCAGCCAGAACACATGCATCACAATGCCAGGGGTTAGCATTAGCAGGCTAGTTTGCCTTTTACAGAATTATGAGTAAAGGGTTGCTGGTTCAATTGTGCTTGAGTGCTGTGCTTCCCCTCTAAGAGCAACAATACTGAGTTTGTGTTTCAGCCTAAACAGCAAGCCCATCACTTAGGCCTCTATTCAATCTGTATCGTGGAAGTTCAACGCTAAAGCCCAATACACATTTTAAGGCAATGTTCCCACGTTGGCGGAGACTGCATTCACGGTAAACACTGCATACAGTGCCTTCGGAAAGTATTCAGACCCCTTGACTTTTTCCACATTTTGTTACGTTACAGCCTTATTCTAAAATTGATATATATATATTTTTTCAGCAATCTACACACAATACCCCATAATGACGAAGTGGAAACAGGTCTTTAGAAATTTGAGCAAATATATTACAAATAAAAAACTTAAATACCTTATTTACATAAGTATTCAGACCCTTTGCTATGATACTCGAAATTGAGCTCAGATGCATCCTGTTTCCATTGATCATCCTTGAGATGTTTCTAGAACTTGATTGGAGTCCACCTGTGGTAAATTCATTTGTTTGGACATTATTTGGAAAGGCACATATAAGGTCCCACAGTTGACAGTGTATGTCAGAGAAAAAACTAAGCCATGAGGTCGAAATAATTGTTCGTAGAGCTCCGAGACAGGATTGTGTCGAGGCACAGATCTGGGGAAGGGTACCAAAAAATATCTGCAGCATTGAAGGTCCCAAGAACACAGTGGCCTCCATAATTCTTAAATGGAAGAAGTTTGGAACCACGAAGACTCTTCCTAGAGCTGGCCGCCCGGCCAAACTGAGTAATTGGGGGAGAAGGATCTTGGTCAGGGAGGTGATCAAGAACCCGATGGACACTCTGACAGAGCTTTAGATCTCCTCTGTGGAGATGGGAGAACCTTCCAGAAGGACAACCATCTCTGCAGCACTCTACCAAACAGGCCTTTATGGTAGAGTGGCCAGACAGAAGCCACTCCTCAGTAAAAGGCACATGACAGCCCGCTTGAAGTTTGCCAAAGGGAACCTAAAGACTCTCCGACCATGAGAAACAAGATTCTTAGGTCTGATGAAACCAAGATTGAACTCTTGGGCCTGAATGCCAAGCGTCAGGTCTGGAGGAAAACCTTCACCATCCCTACGGTGAAGCATGGTGGTGGCAGCATCATGCTGTGGGGATGTTTTTCAGCGGCAGGGATTGGGAGACTAGTCAGGAACGAGGCAAAGATGAACGTAGCAAAGTACAGAGAGATCCTTGATGAAAACCTGCTCCAGAGCACTCAGGACCTCAGACTGGGGGCGAAGGCTTACCTTCCAACAGGACAGCGACCCTAAGCACACAGCCAAGACAACGCAGGAGTGGCTTCGGGACAGGCCTCTGAATGTCCTTGAGAGGCCCAGCCAGAGCCCGGACTTGAACCCAATCAAACATATCTGGAGAGACCTGAAAATAGCTGTGCAGCAACGCTCCTCATCCAACCTGACAGAGCTTGAGAGGATCTGCAAAGAAGAATGGGAGAAACTCCCCAAATACAGGTGTGCCAAGCTTGTAGCGTCATACCCAAGAAGACTCGATGCTGTAATCGCTGCCATAGCTGCTTCAATAAAGTAAAGGGTCTGAATACTTATGTAAATGTGATATTTCAGTTTTTTTCTAAAAACCTGTTTTGCTTTGTCATTATGGGGTATTGTGTGTAGATTGATGAGAGAAAAAAACAATTTAATCAATTTTAGAATAAGGCTGTAACGTAACAAAATTTGGAAAAAGTCAAGGGGTCTGAATACTTCTCGAAGGCACTGTATGTCGGCTTAATCGGAAATTACCATTACATTTCAGTCGTGCAATCAGTAACGCTTCAGCAATTCAGAAAATATAAAAAGACTGGTATAAATAGACTGGTATGAAAATGTCAATTAAACATAAACAATGCAGTCATTATAAGATAAGACAGTTGTACTAACCTCATGAATGTATGTTATATTCGTCAAGAATCAATGGTTGTATCATTCATTGAAATTACAATTTATTGAACAGCAGGAAATATCCCACATTTATTCATGCATAAACACACACACACATGTATACACACCTCTCCACACCCAGTCTTGACCGCAGTTGCTTGACAGAAAGGCAGAGTGACAAGGTTTTGGTCGCTGGGTGTGTCATCAGTCACCGTCAGGGGTAGGACGTATCTTCGTGGAAGGTTTCTGCACATGGAGTTATAAAACTAACATAGCAGAAAACAGAAACAGACATTTTCACAAACAGACATTTTACAAAACAAAACCAATTGCCTATGATACATTTTTCTTCACATTTCTGTCAGCAGCTGTAGTAAGACAAATTAACTCAAGGTAACACCGAACCACAGTATGTGTGAACAGCATGTTAGCTAATCTGTTGCATATGTTCGCAGTGGGCAGGATATCATTGAGAATTGTTCTTGTAGTTTTATAACTACTCAGTGGTTGAGATCTAACCAGTCTGGTGCAAATAAAATAAAATGAACTTTTATTTGTCACATGCTTCGTAAACAACAGGTGTCGACTAACAGTGAAATGCTTACTTACGGGACCTTCCCAACAATGCAGAGAGAAAGAAAATAGAGAAATTATAGTAAAACAGTAAAATAATGAAAGTAATAATAAATACACAATGAGTAATGATAACTTGGCTATATACAGGGAGTACCAGTATAATATTGTATATTTGTGTGTGTTTGTGTGTATATATGTGTTAGTGTGTGTGTGTGTGTGTGTGTGTTCGTTGTACCAACAAACCTTGTCCATCTCCTCCCCTGGAGCCCTGCGAAGATTCTCTAGTGTGAAATCTCCAATGACGTCCCCATCGTCCCCGCAGCACATGTCCATGACAAGGAACCCTTTGTCCTCGTAGGCGTTGATCTGGTGAAGGGTGAACATGGGCGGGGCGCGGTACTTTACCTTGCTTTTCTATTGGATGAAACAGACCAAAAATACTTCAGACATATTGGTGACAAACAAGCCAATCAGAGATTAAATGGACTGGTTCTATAAGTGCAAATGTTACAGGAAATGTGTAAAATCTGGAAAAACTATTGATTTCCTGGAAAATTCTATACCTTCCCCGTCGCACTGGTTAATGCACAGATATACCACGGAATTTCTACATTTACCAGTGCTTTGGAGATTGAGTCGATTTCCTGGGAAATATAGATTTCCTTATTTTACACAATGACTGTAACTATGTAGATTGTTTGGGTCATTAACACTCACCTCGCCTGTGTGTCTGTCCACCACGTGGAAGATGGTGTCGCACTGTGGCTCCCAGGTCATGACCTTGTGAAAGCTCTTGCCCTGGATCCTGAACAGCATAAACTTGAGCAGGTCCAGCTTGATGGGCTGCTCTATGAACACCACATAGTTCTCTGACATGGCTGCAGTCACACAACACACACAGGGATAGAGGTAGAGCTGAGGGTATTATGGCTGCAGTCACACAACACACACAGGGATAGAGGTAGAGCTGAGGGTATTATGGCTGCAGTCACACAACACACACAGGGATAGAGGTAGAGCTGAGGGTATTATGGCTGCAGTCACACAACACACACAGGGATAGAGGTAGAGCTGAGGGTATTATGGCTGCAGTCACACAACACACACAGGGATAGAGGTAGAGCTGAGGGTATTATGGCTGCAGTCACACAACACACAGAGGGATAGAGGTAGAGCTGAGGGAATATGTGTAGCAATAAATACTGGCCTCCAACCGGCAACATACATTATATGCTGGGCAGGTAACATACAGTGCCTTCAGAAAGTATTCACACCACTTGACTTTTTCCACATTTTGTTGTGTTACAGCCGGCTTGAAAATCTATGGCAAGACTTGAAAATGGCTGTCTAGCAATGATCAACAACCAACTTGATAGAGCTTGAAGAATTTTTTAAATAATAATGTCCAAATATTGTACATTCCAGGTGTGCAAAGCTCTTAGAGACTTACCTAGAAAGATTCACAGCTGTAATCGCTGCCAAAGGTGATTCTAACATGTATTAACTCAGGGGTGTGAATACTTATCAGTGGAGGCTCCTCAGAGGAGGACCATCCTCCTCAGTGAATTTCATAAAACTAAAAATGTTAAAACATTAAATTAGTTATCCTTTTTAGATGCAGGCAAGAGTGTCTTTGTCTCTCAACCTGTGTGCATGTCACGCCCTGACTCAGGGGACGGTTATTTGTTGAGTCAGGGTGTGTATATTTCGTGTTGTGTTTATTTCTATGTTTAGTTTCTTGATCGTTTAGATCTATGTTGGCCAGGGTGGTTCCCAATCAGAGGCAGCTGTAGCTCGTTGTCTCTGATTGGGGCCCATACTTAGGCAGCCTTTTGGCACCAGTCAGTTGTGGGATCTTGTTCCGTGTGAGGTATGTTCTTTTGTCTACTTCACGTTTCGTTTGTTGTTTTGTCGTGTGTTCAGTACGTAAATAAATATGAATACATATCACGCTGCGCCTTGGTCCTTCTCGTTAATGAACGATCGTGACAGAAGATCCCACCAATCCTGGATCAAGCAGCGTGATGAGGAGAGAGGATGGACTTGGGAGGAGATGAGCGAGAGTCTGGCAAGAGGGATGGAGGCCATGATCACGGGGGAGAGACAAGCCCAAAAAAAAATTAGGGGGGGGCTCACGCCGTGGACGACGAGGCAGCAGGAGGCCGCGATAGAGCGGTTCAGCCGTTTAGCAGAGGAGGCCGCCAGGTTAAGGGGGTCATTGGTGCAGAGGGAGCAGAAGGAAAGTGTAGCGGCACGGTGAGAGGAGCTGGTTAGGCAGCAGAAGGAGCGGGGGTTAATGAAGGGACCCAGTCCTGCTCCTCGCACCAATCGAGTGGTGCGTGTCGCCAGTCCGGTCCGTTCCTGATTCCCGCACTAAGCCAGTGGTGGGTGTTCCCAGTATGGTTCGGCCCGTTCCTGCTCCTCGCATCAAGCCAGTGGTGCGCATCGCCAGCCCGGTCCGGCCTGTTCCTGTCCCTCGCACCCAGCCAGTGGTGCGCGTCGCCAGCCCGGCCCGGCCTGTTCCTGCTCCCCGCACCAGGCCAGTGGTGCGCGTCGCCAGTCCGGTACGGCCCATTCCTGCTCCCCGCACCAAGCCAGTGGTGCGCGTCGTCAGCCCAGTCCGGCCCGTTCCTGCTCCCCGCACCAGGCCAGTGGTGCGCGTCGTCAGCCCAGTCCGGCCCGTTCCTGCTCCCCGCACCAAGCCAGGGGTGCGCGTCGTCAGCCCAGTCTGGCCTGCTCCCCGCACCAAGCCAGTGGTGCGTGTGTCCAGTCCGGCACGGCCCGTGCCTGTTCCACCGGTGCCTGGTCCGGCACCGGTCAGCTGCTCCACTCCGGAGCCAGAGCAATCCGCTCCACCGGGGTCCAGTCCAGCTCCGGTCAGCGGCTCCACTCCGGAGCCAGAGCAGTCCGCTCCACCGGTGCCTGATCCAGTTCCGGTCAGCGGCTCCACCCCGGAGCCAGAGCAGTTCGATCCACCGTCGTCGGGTCCAGCTCCAGTCAGTGGTTCCAGTCCAGACCCAGACGTCAGCCCCTCTCCAGGTTCGGGGTCTCCCACACCAGGGTCCAGACAGGGCGTGGTACTTCGTGGGAGGAAGGAGAGAGGAAGCAGCGCGCCAAGGTCCAGACCAGTCCAGGGGCGCAACGGGGAGGTGGAGAGTAAGTGGTGGTTACACCCGGAGCCGGATCCGCCTCAGAGGCGGAATGCCCACCCGGCCCCTACCCTGTTAGGTTTATGTGGCGCGGTCGGAGTCCGCACCTTTGGGGGGGGGGTACTGTCACGCCCTGACTCAGGGGACGGTTATTTGTTGTTGTAAACTTTCATTCATAGGCTAGGTTGTAGCAACCTCATGATGGGTATAGGGAACATTTTTGTATCATGTAGTAGCCTAAACCCTTTCGCTGTAACATTGAACTGGGTGAATGGAATATGAATGACAGTCATCCAATATGCTGTAATAGAAATGAGGCCATGCTCATGGAGAAAAAAAATCGTCCTCCCTCATCTTAAACGGCACTGACCGCCACTGATACTTATGTAAATGAGATATTTATTTATTTAATCTTCAATACATTTGCAAAAATGTCTAAACATTTGTTTTTACTTTGTCATTATGGGGTATTGTGTGTAGATGGGTGAGAAAAAAATATATTTAATCCATTTTGAATTCAGACTGTAACACAACAATGATTTATGTGGAATAAGTCAAGGGTTATGAATACTTTCTGAAGACACTGTATTTTATTAAATCCCCAAAACTAGGTTTAATTTGAAAAGTTATATTAGGGCTGGTAAAAAGCATCAAAAGTACTGAAGCTACAGTGGGGAAAAAAGTATTTAGTCAGCCACCAATTGTGCAAGTTCTCCCACTTAAAAAGATGAGAGAGGCCTGTAATTTTCATCATAGGTACACATCAACTATGACAGACAAATTGAGGAAAAAAAATCCAGAAAATCACCTTGTAGGATTTTTTAATGAATTTATTTGCAAATTATGGTGGAAAATAAGTATTTGGTCACCTACAAACAAGCAAGATTTCTGGCTCTCACAGACCTGTAACTTCTTATTTAAGAGGCTCCTCTGTCCTCCACTCGTTACCTGTATTAATGGCACCTGTTTGAACTTGTTATTAGTATAAAAGACACCTGTCCACAACCTCAAACAGTCACACTCCAAACTCCACTATGGCCAAGACCAAAGAGCTGTCAAAGGACACCAGAAACAAAATTGTAGACCTGCACCAGGCTGGGAAGACTGAATCTGCAATAGGTAAGCAGCTTGGTTTGAAGAAATCAACTGTGGGAGCAATTATTAGGAAATGGAAGACATACAAGACCACTGATAATCTCCCTCGATCTGGGGCTCCACGCAAGATCTCACCCCGTGGGGTCAAAATGATCACAAGAACGGTGAGCAAAAATCCCAGAACCACACGGGGGGACCTAGTGAATGACCTGCAGAGAGCTGGGACCAAAGTAACAAAGCCTACCATCAGTAACACACTACGCCGCCAGGGACTCAAATCCTGCAGTGCCAGACGTGTCCCCCTGCTTAAGCCAGTACATGTCCAGGCCCGTCTGAAGTTTGCTAGAGTGCATTTGGATGATCCAGACGAGGATTGGGAGAATGTCATATGGTCAGATGAAACCAAAATATAACTTTTTGGTAAAAACTCAACTCGTCGTGTTTGGAGGACAAAGAATGCTGAGTTGCATCCAAAGAACACCATACCTACTGTGAAGCATGGGGGTGGAAACATCATGCTTTGGGGCTGTTTTTCTGCAAAGGGACCAGGACGACTGATCCGTGTAAAGGAAATAATGAATGGGGCCATGTATCGTGAGATTTTGAGTGAAAACCTCCTTCCATCAGTAAGGGCATTGAAGATGAAACGTGGCTGGGTCTTTCAGCATGACAATAATCCCAAACACACCGCCCGGGCAACGAAGGAGTGGCTTCGTAAGAAGCATTTCAAGGTCCTGGAGTGGCCTAGCCAGTCTCCAGATCTCAACCCCATAGAAAATCATTGGAGGGAGTTGAAAGTCTGTGTTGCCCAGCGACAGCCCCAAAACATCACTGCTCTAGAGGAGATCTGCATGGAGGAATGGGCCAAAATACCAGCAACAGTGTGTGAAAACCTTGTGAAGACTTACAGAAAACGTTTGACCTGTGTCATTGCCAACAAAGGGTATATAACAAAGTATTGAGAAACTTTTGTTATTGATCAAATACTTATTTTCCACCATAATTTGCAAATAAATTCATTAAAAATCCTACAATGTGATTTTCTGGATTTTTTTTCTCGTTTTGTCTGTCATAGTTGACGTGTACCTATGATGAAAATTACAGGCCTCTCTCATCTTTTTAAGTGGGAGAACTTGCACAATTGGTGGCTGACTAAATACTTTTTTTCCCCACTGTATATTGGTCTATTGCACTACAAGCAACATGTATTCACCACTGTTTCAAACAACCTACTTCATATTGTGAGTATAGGTTTTACCTCCAATAACATGATTTATGAACCAGACAGACACACACACACACACACACACACACACACACATACACACACATGCGTACACACACACACACACAACCACTGAAACACACACACACACACGGATAGAGCACACAAACACTTAAACCAATCTCAACCAGTTCTCAATTGGAGAAACAGTCAGAGAGAGGAAAATGCAGTTGGAGATAATAAAGTTGTCATGGACATGCTTTAGCTGAGGTAGTAAAGAAAGAGGAAGTTAGGAGAGTGAGAACCAGTCATTGAAATTCAGCACCGCTGTTGTAGAGGGAGAAAGATAAAGGGGGAGGCGGAGGGAGGAGATAGTTGGATACTGACCGAAGCTGTGGTAGTAGGATGGTTTCTTGTAGTCAGAGGCTGGGATGGAGCAGAGGACCTGAGCTCCACTGAAATCAGCCTTGTCCTCCCCCTCTACCTTCTCAGGCGGAGGCACACGGATGATGTTGTAAAAAAAGCCTGGGATGAGACACAGCGACGGGCCAATAGAGGGTGAATTTACATTACCAATCACCATGTCAGAGGTTGCATCATATCATACATGATAATAGTGATTATCATATTTTTTTGTTTTTTTGTTTTTTGTCACCTTTATTTAACCAGGTAAGCCAGTTGAGAATAAGTTCTCATTTACAACTGCGACCTGGCCAAGATAAAGCAAAGCAGTGCGATAAAAACAACAACACAGAGTTACATATGGGGTAAACAAAACATAAAGTCAAAAATAGCACACACTGAAAATATATATACAGTGTGTGCAAATGTAGCAAGTTATGGAGGTAAGGCAATAAATAGGCCATAGTGCAAAATAATTACAATTAGTATTAACACTGGAATGATAGATGTGCAAGAGATGATCTGCAAATAGAGATACTGGGGTGCAAATGAGCAAAATAAATAACAATATGGGGATGAGGTAGTTGAGTGGGCTAATTTCAGAAGGGCTGTGTACAGGTGCAGTGATCGGTAAGGTGCTCTGACAACTGATGCTTAAAGTTAGTGAGGGAGATAAGTGTCTCCAGCTTCAGAGATTATTGCAGTTCGTTCCAGTCATTGGCAGCAGAGAACTGGAAGGAATGGCGGCCAAAGGAGGTGTTGGCTTTGGGGATGACCAGTGAGATATACCTGCTGGAGCGCATACTACGGGTGGGTGTTGCTATGGTGACCAATGAGCTAAGATAAGGTGGAGATTTGCCTAGCAGTGATTTATAGATGGCCTGGAGCCAGTGGGTTTGGCGACGAATATGTAGTGAGGACCAGCCAACAAGAGCGTACAGGTCACAATGGTGGGTAGTATATGGGGCTTTGGTGACAAAACGGATGGCACTGTGATAGACTACATCCAATTTGCTGAGTAGAGTGTTGGAGGCTATTTTGTAAATGACATCGCCGAAGTCAAGGATCGGTAGGATAGTCAGTTTTACGAGGGCATGTTTGGCAGCATGAGTGAAGGAGGCTTTGTTTGCGAAATAGGAAGCCGATTCTAGATTTCACTTTGGATTGGAGATGCTTAATGTGAGTCTGGAAGGAGAGTTTACAGTCTAACCAGACACCTAGGTATTTGTAGTTATCCACATAATCTAGGTCAGACCCGTCGAGAATAGTGATTCTAGTCGGGTGGGCGGGTGCCAGCAGCGTTCGATTGAAGAGCATGCATTTAGTTTTACTAGTGTTTAAGAGCAGTTGGAGGCTACGGAAGGAGTGTTGTATGGCATTGAAGCTCATTTGGAGGTTTGTTAACACAGTGTCCAATGAAGGGCCAGATGTATACAAAATGATGGTCATCTGCGTAGAGGTGGATATGAGGGTCACCAGCAGCAAGAGCGACATCATTGATATACACAGAGAAAAGAGTCGGCCCAAGAATTGAACCCTGTGGCACCCCCATAGAGACTGCCATAGGTCCAGACAACAGGCCCTCCGATTTGACACATTGAACTCTATATGAGAAGTAGTTGGTGAACCAGGCGAGGCAGTCATTTGAGAAACCAAGGCTATTTAGTCTGCCAATAAGAATGTGGTGGTTGACAGAGTCGAAAGCCTTGGCCAGGTCGATGAAGACGGCTGCACAGTACTGTCTATTATCGATCGCGGTTATAATATCGTTTAGGACCTTGAGCGTGGTTGAGGTGCACCCATGACCAGCTCGGAAACCGGATTGCATAGCGGAGAAGGTACGGTGGGATTCGAAATGGTCGGTGATCTGTTTGTTAACTTGGCCTTCAAATACTTTCGAAAGGCAGGGCAGGATGGATATAGGTCTGTAACAGTTTGGATCTAGAGTGTCACCCCCTTTGAAGAGGGGGATGACCGCGGCAGCTTTCAAATCTCTGGGGATCTCAGACGTTACGAAAGAGAGGTTGAACAGGCTAGTAATAGGGGTTGCGACAATTTCGGCGGCTATTTTTAGAAAGAAAGGGTCCAGATTGTCTAGTCCAGATGATTTGTAGGGGTCCAGATTTTGCAGCTCTTTCAGAACATCAGCTGTCTGAATTTGTGTGAAAGAGAAGCAGGGAGGGCATGGGCAAGTTGCAGCGGAGGGTGCAGAGCTGGTGGCCGGGGTAGTGGTAGCCAGGTGGAAAGCATGGCCAGCCGTAGCAAAATGCTTGTTGAAATTCTCGATTATTGTAAATTTATCGGTGGTGATAGTGTTTCCTAGCCTCAGTGCAGTGGGCAGCTGGGAGGAGGTGCTCTTATTTTCCATGGACTTTACAGTGTCCCAAAACTTTTTGGAGTTAGTGCTACAGAATGTAAATTTCTGTTTGAAAAAGCTAGCCTTTGCTTTCCTAACTGCTTCTGTATATTGGTTCCTAACTTCCCTGAAAAGTTGCATATTGCGGGAGCTATTCGATGCTAATGCAGTACGCCACAGGATAGTTTTTGTGCTGGTCAAGGGCAGTCAAGTCTGAGGAGAACCAGGGGCTATATCTGTTCTTAGTTCTGAATTTTTTGAATGGGGCATGCATATTTAAGATTGAGAAGAAAGCACTTTTAAAGAACAACCAGGCATCCTCTACTGACGGAATGAGATCGATATCCATCCAGGATACCTGGGCCAGGTCAATTAGGAAGGCCTGCTCGCTAAAGTGTTTTAGGGAGCGTTTGACAGTGATGAAGGGTGGTCGTTTGACCGCGGACCCGTTACGGACGCAGGCAATAAGGCAGTGATCGCTGAGATCCTGGTTGAAGACAGCGGAGGTGTATTTAGAGGGTAAGTTAGTCAGGATGATATCTATGAGGGTGCCCATGTTTAAAGATTTAGGGTTGTACCTGGTAGGTTTCTTGATAATTTGTGTGAGATTGAGGGCATCTAGTTTGGATTGTAGGGTGGCCGGGGTGTTAAGCATATCCCAGTTTAGGTCACCAAGCAGTACAAACTCTGAGGATAGATGGGGGGCAATCAATTCACATATGGTGTCCAGGGCACAGCTGGGGGCTGAGGGGGGTCTGTAGCAAGCAGCAACAGTGAGAAAGGTGGATTTTTAGAAGTAGGAGCTCAAACTGTTTGGGCACAGACCTGGATAGTATGATAGAGCTCTGCAGGCTATCTCTACAGTAGATTGCAACTCCACCCCCTTTGGCAGTTCTATCTAGAAAATGTTGTAGTTGGGGATGGACATTTCTGAATTTTTGGTGGCCTTCCTAAGCCAGGATTCAGACACTGCTAGAACATCAGGGTTGGCGGAGTGTGCTAATGCAGTGAATAACTCAAACCAAGGCTTTTACAGTTACAGAAGTCAACAAACGATAACTCCTGGGGAGTAGGAGTGATACTGGGGGCTGCAGGGCCTGGGTTAGCCTCTACATCACCAGAGGAACAGAGGAGGACTAGAATAAGGATACAGCTAAAGGCTTTAAGAACTGGTCTTCTAGTGCATTGGGTACAGAGAATAAAGGGGGCAGATTTCCAGGCGTTGTAGAATAGATTCTGGGCATTATGTACAAACAAGGATATGGAAGGATATGAGTACAGTGGAGGTAAACCTAAGCGTTGGGTAACAATGAAAGAGATAGCATCACTGGAGGCATCGAATGCGCTGGTCTCGGCATGTATTGGGGGTGGAACAAATGAGCTATTTGAGGCAGTTTGAGAATGACTTCTATATTGAAATTGTATAATAAGAACTAACTGTAACAGCAATAGGCAAGGTATATTGACATGGGAGAGAGGCATAAAGCAATCACAGGTGTTATTAGAGAGAGCTAAGACAACAACTGGTAATGGCGATGAAAGTTTGGGCTGAGGCTAAACAGATAAACAGGACAGGGTACCGTGTAAAGGAACAGTCCAGCAGGCATCAGCTGTGCATCTGAGTGATCATAAGGTCCAGTGAACAGCAATATGTGAGTCCGAGAGCAGTTCGAATTGGTGCTAAAGCACAGCGAGCAGGAAGCACGGCTGTTGTTTGTGTGTGCTAGCGGGCCGGGGCTAGCAGATGGATCTTCGTGGTCGTCGCAACGGGAAGCCTGTTGAAACCATAGACGATTACGTCGGCAGACCAGTCGTGATGGATCGGCGGGGCTCCGTGTCGACTCTAGGAGGTCCCGTCCGGTTGACAGAGAGGTAGATAGCCGGGAGATGTGCCTAACTCGAGGCTAGCTCAAGGCTGATTAGCCAACAACAACATCCATTTGGTTGCAGCTTGCTAGTTACGATGATCAGGTGTTAAAGGTCCAGTGATTTAGTGATTCCGGCAGAAAATCTGTTATGTTCTGGTTCGATAACGCGCTGTGCAGACAGTGCAGACTGGCCGATAATAGTCCAGGCTAGAGCTGGCTGGTAGGTAGTGCAGGCCACGGACAATGGTGAAAAACTGCTAACGGTGGCTAATAGCAAGTAGCTAGTTAGCGGGCTACTCCCGTCCGATAGACAAAGAGGTAGATAGCCAGGATATGGGCCTGGCTCAAGGCTAACTGGTGCTTGCTTCGGGGGCAGTGGTGATTAGCTAGTTGCGATCCAGTGTTAGGGACCAGTGATTCAGTTATTCCGGCAGAAAATCCGATGTTCTGGGTGAAAACCGCTAACGGTGGCTAATAGCAAGTAGCTAGTTAGCTGGCTAGCTAGTTTCAACTGGAGATTCTAGATAAAGGTGAGTAAATAATAGAATCCGTTCCACATTGAGTGAGGCGGATTGCAGGAAAGTATATTTAGTTGAAGGATGAAAAGTGTGATAAGGAAATATGTATGAAAAATACAAAATAATACAAAAAACTGGCTATTTACACGGACACACAACAAAGAACACGACCGCACTGCTACGCCATCTTGGATTCCAAGATCCGTTACAGCCTTATTCTAAAATGGATTAAATAAATACAAATCCTCAGCAATCTACACACAATACCCCATAATGACAAAGCTAAAACAGGTTTTTAGAATGTTTGCAAATGTATTACAAATTAAAAACAAAAATACCATATTTACATAAGTATTCAGAAACCTTTGATTTGGAAAGGCACACACCTGTTTATTTAAGGACCCACAGTTGACAGTGCATGTCAGAGCAAAAACCAAGCCATGTGGTCGAAGGAATTGTTTGTAGAGCTCCGAGACAGGATTGTGTCAAGGCACAGATCTGGAGAAGGGTACCAAAAAATATCTGCAGCATTGAAGGTCCCCAAGAACACAGTGGCGTCCATCATTCTTAAATGGAAGAAGTTTGGAACCACCAAGACTCTTCTTAGAGCTGGCTGCCCAGCTCTAAGAAATCAGGGGAGAAGGGCCTTGGTCAGGGAGGTGACCAAGAAACTGATGGTCAATCTGACAGAGCTCTAGAGTTCCTCTGTGGAGATGGGTGAACCTTCCAGAAGGACAACCATCTCTACAGCACTCCACCAATCAGGCCTTTATGGTAGAGTGGCCAGATGGAAGCCACTCCTCAGTAAAAGGCACATGACAGCCCGCTTGGAGTTTGCCAAATGGCACCTAAAGACTCTCAGACCATGAGAAATAAGATTGTCTGGTCTGATGAAACCAAGATTGAAATCATTGGCCTGAATGCCAAGCGTCATGTCTGAAGTAAACCTGGCATCATCCCTACGGTGAAGCATGGTGGTGGCAGCATCATGCTGTGGGGATGTTTTTCAGCGGCAGGGACTGGGAGACGTCAGGATCGAGGCACAGAGAGATCCTTGATGAAAACCTGCTCTGAATGTCCTTGAGTGGACCAGCCAGAGCCCGTAATTGAACCCAGTTGAACATCTCTGGAGAGACCTGAAAATAGCTGTGCAGCAACGCTCCCCATCCAACCTGACAGAGCTTGAGAGGATTTGCAGAAAAGAATGGGAGAAACTCCCCAAATACAGGTGTGCCAAGCTTGTAGTGTCAAACGACTCGAGAAGAAGACTCGAGGCTGTAATCACTGCCAAAGGTGCTTCAACAAAGTACTGAGTAAAGGGTCTGAATACTTACAGTGAGGGAAAAAAGTATTTGATCCCCTGCTGATTTTGTAAGTTTGCCCACTGACAAAGGAATTATCAGTCTATCATTTTAATGGCAGGTTTATTTGAACAGTGAGAGACAGAATAACAACAAAACAATTCAGAAAAAAACACATGTCAAAAATGTTATAAATTGATTTGCATTTTAATGAGGGAAATAAGTATTTGACCCCCTCTCAATCAGAAAGATTTCTGGCTCCCAGGTGTCTTTTATACAGGTAATGAGCTGAGATTAGGACTGGCCTAGCCAGTCTCCAGACCTTAATCCCATAGAAAATCTGTGGAGGGAGCTGAAGGTTCATGTTGCCAAATGTCAGCCTCGAAACCTTAATGACTTGGAGAAGATCTGCAAAGAGGAGTGGGACAAAATCCCTCCTGAGATGTGTGCAAACCTGGTGGCCAACTACAAAAAACGTCTGACCTCTGTGATTGCCAACAAGGGTTTTGCCACCAAGTACTAAATCATGTTTTGCAGAGGGGTCAAATACTTATTTCCCTCATTAAAATGCAAATCAATTTATAAAAATTTTCACATGCGTTTTTTTCTGGATTTTTTTGTTGTTATTCTGTCTCTCACTGTTAAAAAAAACCTACCATTAAAATTATAGACTGATCATGTCTTTGTCAGTGGGCAAACGTACAAAATCAGCAGGGGATCAAATACTTTATTCCCTCACTGTAGGTAGGGGTAGATAGGTAGGTAGGGAGGTAGGTAGCTAACATACCGCCCTTGCCATAGGAGTTGCCCATGTTGTACGAAGCCCCTTCACGGTCATAATGAGGATGGGCTGTGGCTGAGTTTACTGCAATGTATTGAGTCCAGTCCACCTATGAACATAAGGACACTTCATCATTATAGTCATCATCATCACTGCAAACATCATCATCATCATAACTGTAAGATCCCCCTGAATTCTGTAAAATATGTTCAACTCCATCCTTGGTGTGATAGTTGTAACAGACAATAGCTGTACCTTCTCCTTGGTCTCCAGGCTCTGTGGATCCACCCGCCGCATGTAGTTGGTCTCTGTGCTTACATAATAGTCTCCCTTGTACTTCACAAAGTTCACACTGGCATTGTCTGTGGCCTCTGTTAACAAATCCAGATATCAGGACTGGAGCATTTACAGTTGAAGTCGGAGGTTTACATACACTTAGGTTGGAGTCATTAAAACTTGTTTTTCAACCACTCCACAAATTTCTTGTTAACAAACTATAGTTTTGGCAAGTCGGTTAGGACACTCTACTTTGTGCGTGACACAAGTCATTTTTCCAACAATTGTTTACAGACAGATTATTTCACTTATAATTCACTGTATCACAATTCCAGTGGGTCAGAAGTTTCCATACACTAAGTTGACTGTGCCTTTAAACAGCTTGGAAAATTCCAGAAAATGATGTCATGGCTTTAGAAGCTTCTGATAGGCTAATTGACATAATTTGAGTCAATTGGAGGTGTACCTGTGGATGTATTTCAAGGCCTACTTTCAAACTCAGTGCCTCTTTGCTTGACATCATGGGAAAATCAAAAGAAATCAGCCAAGACCTCGGAAAAAATATTGTAGACCTCCACAAGTCTGGTTCATCCTTGGGAGAAATGTCCAAATGCCTGAAGGTACCACGTTCATCTGTACAAACAATAGTATGCAAGTATAAACACCATGGGACCACGCAGCCGTCATACCACTCAGGAAGGAGACGCGTTCTGTCTCCTAGAGATGAACGTACTTTGGTGCGAAAAGTGCAAATCAATCCCAGAACAACAGCAAAGGACCTTGTGAAGATGCTGGAGGAAACAGGTACAAAGGTATCTATATCCACAGTAAAACGAGTCCTATATCAACATAACCTGAAAGGCTGCTCAGCAAGGAAGAAGCCACTGCTCCAAAACCGCCATAAAAAAGCCAGACTACGGTTTGCAACTGCACATGGGGACAAAGATCATACTTTTTGGAGAAATATCCTCTGGTCTGATGAAACAAAAATAGAACTGTTTGGCCATAATGACCATCACTATGTTTGGAGGAAAAAGGGGGTGGCTTGCAAGCTGAAGAACACCATCCCAACCGTGAAGCACGGGGGTGGCAGCTTCATGCTGTGGGGGTGCTTTGCTGCATGAGGGACTGGTGCACTTCACAAAATAGATGGCATCATGAGGAAGGAAAATGATGTGGATATATTGAAGCAACATCTCAAGACATCAGTCAGGAAGTTAAAGCTTGGTTGCAAATGGGCATACTTCCAAAGTTGTGGCAAAATGGCTTAACGACAACAAAGTCAAGGTATTGGAGTGGCCATCACAAAGCTCTGACCTCAATCCTATAGAACATTTGTGGGCAGAACTGAAAAAGCGTGTGCGAGCAAGGAGGCCTACAAACCTGACTCAGTTACACCAGCTCTGTCAGGAGGAATTTGCCAAAAATCACCCAAATTATTGTGGGAAGCTTGTGGAAGGCTACCCGAAACGTTTGACCCAAGTTAAACAATTTAAAGGCAATGCTACCAAATACTAGTTGAGTGTATGTAAACTTCTGACCCACTGGGAATGTGATGAAAGAAATAAAAGCTTAAATAAATCATTCTCTCTACTATTATTCTGACATTTCACATTCTTAAAATAAAGTGGTGATCCTAACTGACCTAAGACATGGAATTTTTACTAGGATTAAATGTCAGGAATTGTGAAAAACTGAGATTAAATGTATTTGGCTAAGGTATATGTAAACTTCCGACTTCAACTGTACCTACAGAACATTTTTGCCAATCAGCAGAGTTTTATCTTTCTCAGTGATATGCACTTATGATCTACACTTTCACAAGCATATGTGTAGAAAATCCCATTCTGAACTCTACACCATCCTACAGCAGCAACACCCTCCAATACTTTCAATATGTTCATTTTTTTTGTAAGTACAGGACACAATGTTCACGTGTCTATTTCCTTTTAGGTCAGGCTAAGCTAGAAATCACACTAATCTAAACAGGAAGGAGTGGACACAGACGTTGTGTGACTATTAAAGTCACTTGTTGTGGCACAAGTATCTGTGGACTTGCCCCAGTATCTGTGTGTTTGAGATGTCTCTAATGCCCAGGAAGCGCCGATTCAAACTCCCATTAGACAGCTCTGCAAGCGTTTTAATGTCAAAATCGGAATGTTCCCCACCAAATATGGGGTTTCGCTGTGCAACTAAACTCAAAGACAGACCATATAAACAATATACAGCAGTACTATAATGACAAAATGAACATTCAACTCTTCTAGACTTTTTTTGGAAGTACATACCGGCTTTAACGGGAGTAAATGAAGAAACCCTATATTTGGTGACTAACGAACGTATTTTGACATTAAAACGCTTGCAGAGCTGTCTAATGGGAGTTTGAATCAGAGCTGGGCATTAGAGAGGAGACCTGTAATACTCATCGTCAACATCTCTAACTCACAGATACTGGGTCAATGCTAGTGGAGGCTGCTGAGGGGAGAACGGCTCATAATAATGGCTGGAACAGAGCTAATGGAATGGCATCAAACACATGGAAACCATGTTTTATGTATTTGATTCCATTCCACCAATACCGCTCCAGCCAATACCATGAGCCCATTCTCCCCAATTAAGGTGCCACCAACCTCCTGTGTGGGGCACTGTGGACTTTACTTTCTATTGGGCCATGAATAATCCTTGTGTCTTCAAAAATGTGGTGTGTTACAATTCTGCTATTTTTTCTATTGACCCTAATCTAGCTGTGCTGGTTTACAATCGGTTATGCTTTGATGCAGCAAAATACTTCTGTAGATCAACGTTTAATGCTCTTCTGTTTAATTACAGAAATTGTTAAATACAGAGCTTTTAAAAGTCAGAAGTTTCTCTGTCTATCTCTCTTTCTCTCTCTAACTGCTCAGGTAGCCCACACAAAAATATGCTCTCCTGATTTCTAAGCATTCCTACACTCACAGAAATATGCACTAGCTTTCGACCATCATATTTGTAATCTCAACACAATACATACATTGTGAGCAACACAATACATAGAGTCAACAGCCCTGGCCAATGCTGCAAGCCGCAACCAGAACAATGGGGAATGTACTGCACACAGAGGGACACAACTCTGAAGACACTTACTGGGAATCTTGAAGCGGGATAAGAATCGAGCAAAGAAGTTCTTGCAGGGGTCAGGCATGGCCATGGTTCCAAACTCACACACCACAATGCGATCTTTCTCAGAATTACGCACGTAGGAGTCGCTGCGCAGGAAGCGGCTGCTGTAGGTCACCTCACCGTCATGGATGTAGAAGCGGTGCATCAAGGCCATTCCATCAAACCAGTGGTTGAAGCTGAGGACAGAGACAAAGAAAAATGGGTGTAAGGGTGAGTCTATGGGTGTAAGGGTGAGTCTATGGGTGTAAGGGTGAGTGTCTATGTGTATGTGTGTGTATGTGTTGAGTATACGTGGTGTCTGTGTATAATTTTATTTTGTACTTGTCTTTGCCGAACTCAAACTTTCCGGGCCCATTCCGCAGGAAGCTTCCATTGATCCAGGATGGGATGTTCCCCTTGATCACCGTGGTGATGGGCTCAGGGATCTCTTCAACAGTGCGCACAAGGGGGGCAATGCCCTCCAGCCCCGTGGCCAAGGGGCACCTCTTCTTGGATGCTGCCATGGAGAGAGAAGACAAATGTTCAAGCTTTCTGATATCACACATCATAAATAGCATTTTTACTTGTTTGGAGGAAGAGATAGGTGATCCACCCAGTCTGTTGACACACACAGAGCTCGATCTTGCGTTCACATCAACATTTCGTCCTGAAGTCGACACTTCAGGTCTCAGAGAATGTGACATCATTGCACGTGCTACACTCAAGCACAAGGGGTGCGTTCCTCTGCTCAGACGTTGCTGACGCATACCAGATCTTACAAAGTCTGGATAGGTATTTACGCAGTGGCGGCTGGTGAAAAATATTCTCGGTGGGGCTGTGCCATACTTTTTTTTTCCTGTAACCATCGCGATATATTTTAACACAAACTGCAGGACAGCAGTGCTCAGTGAAACATTCAGTAATTATTTAATGCCAATATTAAAAAGTTGAGGCATTCTTACACAAAAACATATTACACAAACCCAAGCCTTTCATTTGCATTTAAAGTGAACTTTTCATCATTGGTAGTAAACAGGCAACGCAACAGGCATGCTGTCAGAACAGAGTGGAAAGTGGACAATAACATGAAATTATTATAAAGTTTATAGGAAATCTTACACTGTATAAAAGGATGTATAATATAGAAATGGATATCAAGTGGATGAACTCAAACCTTTGACTGGAAGAATAGCATACAGTATTTTATGATCATACTAAATGTGACTAATTGTTAATGTGCTCCAGAACTGCAACAATTAATTGATACAAAACAACATATATACAGTAATATTAGCAAAGACACTATTAAGACTTTCTAGAGTACCATATATAACTGGATTTTTTATGCTAAGGTCAACTATATACAAAGAAACATGCGGCCAGAGCTGCTCTGTGTGTGTGTGTCTGTCATCTTATTTGTACAGGAATTTTGCCCGTCTGTCCTTCTGAGTGGCAAACCTCTCAATGACCCTTTGATTAAAGTCAGGAATGTCCCTGACAAGTTTCTTCTCCATGGAGAGCATGGCCAGAGCGTTCAGGCGATCCTGTGTCATGCTGTTTCTCAGGAAGGTCTTGATCCTTTTCAGTGTAGAGAAGCACCTTTCTGACTCAGCAGTTGTCATGGGTGTGGTGATGAGGATCTTGAGGAGGCTGGCAGTCTCTGTGAAAGTGCTCTGAAGGTTGTTCTCCATGAAGAACTGGTACAGGGGCACTGCACCACTACAAGCCTTGAACTCACTGTTCTCATAGATGAGGGACAGTTCGGTTTTGAGCTTGGCCTTGTTCAACATGGGGTACGCCTCCACGGTTGTTTCAAGCGCTGTATCGGGGAACTTCACACTGTGTTGTGGGAACAACTCTCCGTGCAATAGTGTTGCGCTGATGAGGTGCTGGGTGAAGGAGAACCTCTCTTTGGCATGACTCAGGATGGTATCACATACCTGTAAAAGATACATCATCAGCTTTAATTTGCAATTAAGCTATTTTGATGCAAGTGATCCTGACTGACACATGCCTATGTCCAACTCAAGTATATGATTACCAAGGTGCTGATTGTTCAGGGTTTTGGCTACATACTACCAGGCCTGAAAAAAGTTCTAGGGGGAAACACTGACAATTACATCACAACTTACCTCTATAGCCAACCTCTGTTGTTCTCCTGGTCCCAGCATCCTCCGTCGCTTGATGGGCTGTTGCTGCTCGTCAGATGCGCTGTCCCCACACAAAGAGGGAATTGAGGCCCTGGGTCCAAAAAATAAAGTTTAATTTGATAACTTGCAATCAGACTTCTTAACTCACTGTAATTCCCCCTCAACACACAACCAGTGACTTTTATATATATATATATATATATATATATATATATATATATATATAGACAGACAGACAGACAGATAGTGTGTATATACACACAAACTATGTCTAGTAACTGCTTTTAACCTGTGATGTACATAATTAACTGATGTTATTACGTTTTAAAGCCTTTTTCTATTACATTTGTGAGAGGGATGCAACATCATTTTGTTCTGCTGTGCACTTAGCAATAAAGTTAATCTTCAATAACAACTAGGCCTCTTCTAGAAATTGACCTGGTGGACACCTGAATAATTATTACAAACTGTGTAGTACTTTCCTGCATTATTATCAACGTCTGATTGTGTCTTCTCTTTCCTTTTAAAATACTAAAACAAATATAATTGTGACGGCTCTATGATAATCACTCACTTTGATGACCAGACACATTTAGGCTTTTAAACTGTTGTAAGTGAACTATTCATCTTTCTAACAACATCTTTATCAGCCAATAGTAAATATAGTTATTTACCTGATTGTTAGCATGCTGTCTGTGAACCTCTGGACAAGTGCTTTAATGAAGACAGGGTCGATGTTCCTCTTCTGCAGCTGGCTGAAAAGCATGTCCACATTTGGCATGATCTTGTGGAACAGTGCCAGGAAAAAACAGAAAGCCTCGTCTTCGAGCATCCTCACAAAGCCCCCCGCCTCTCTGACAGTCGGGGCATCAAAGTTCCCAGAGTCTCTGATGGTCTGGAAACACGTTAGGAGGTCATCCCTGTACTCGTACACAGTGTTTACAGCGCGACTGTGGAAGTTCCACCGTGTTGTAGAGGCTCTGGGGAGTCTATGCGCAACCACTTCGTCAAGCACGGTGGTTCGCTTGGGAGACCTGGAGAAGAAAGCAGAAAATCCTGCAAGGTCGGAAAAGAAAGTGCCGATCCTGGGGATGCGTGAAGTAGCCTGCTGCATGATGAGGTTCAGCTGATGTGCATAGCAGTGGACGTAGTGCGCATTTTCGTACACATCCACTATTTTACGCTGCACTCCGCCGGTGGCTCCCCTCATCACACTTGCTCCGTCGTAAGCCTGGGCAATAAGTTTGGCCTTTTGTCCATGTGAGAGTATGGTGCTGAGCCTCTCCAGCAGCGCTGTAGCGATGGTGTCGGCGGTTGCGTTCTCGATCAAAATGAACTCGAAAAAACGCTCTTGGACGTTACTTTTAGCATCGATGTAGCGTATCACAAGCACCAACTGGCAGTGGGTGGAAACGTCAGTCGTCTCGTCAGCTTGAATGGCGATAAAATCAGCACTCTTTACTTCCTCCAGGATGTAATCCTTAAGCACTGACAGCATACAGTCCAACAGCTCGTTCTGTATCGTCTTTGACGTGCCCTTAAAAACGGTAGCTGTCTTCAGGTGCTCCTCCAGCACACTGTCGAGGGAGGCAACAAAATCCACTAAGCCCCGGAAAATGCCGGGGTTGTCCGAGGAGTCAGTCTCCTCGTGCCCACGCAAGGCCAACTCAAAAGCCCCACAGAACTTCACACAATCGATAATTTTGGATAGAATGTGCCTGTTTTTATCCACCTCCTCATTGTGTTTCCTCACCGCAATCCTGTGGCCGTCATCCAGCTGCGTAGCAATGTTCACCCTTCCTAATACAGCTAGCTTTACAGAGTTGTCCATGTGTGCCCTGGTGTTCTCATGTTTCTTTACCTTCTCTGACAGGTGCTTCATATCCCTCACTCCGGTACCTGTCCATGCTGAATCTGACCCCGTCGTTTTAAAAAGCAAGCACGGAAAGCAAAATAAAGCATTAGCATCAGTGCACCCAGCTAGCCAAGCCTTCCTGGTGTACCAGCTACGGGAGAAGCCGCGCATATACTGCTTCCCTTTCTCGCTAGCCTGCTGTCTGATTGAGAGGTCAGGTTGATCTGGGCCCAGCTCTTTCACCCGAACTTTCTCTGACAAAGTTCTCCTCTCAAACGGATCTTGGAGGAGAGATTTCACCGAGTTAGGGTTGGGTCTTGGAGGAGTAACGTTTGCGCTCGCCATTGTCGTCTAGTAAAAATGGCGCCACTGGAGCCCGGTCCTTATTTTATCAGGGGCGAGCTTGGGGCGATAAAATAATCGCCCTCCTTGGATTCGATTTAAGATCGCTGATTGGCTACATTTTATGTCATACATTCATATCTTAAATTAGCAATTGGCTTAACTGCTACGTAGACCCGCCTCCTCGGGGCACTTTCTGTATCGCCCAGAGCTGACGAGGCGTTTGACAGGCAGAGGAAAGGTTGCGAATATGATTTTCTATCATATCTTACACATATTACTGTGTGCATTCCATATTTCAAACACACAAATATTGACATACTGATGTTTTTATTATTATTATTATTATTTTTATTTATTTTTTATTTTGTTTTTTAAAATAATTTTATTTAGGGGGGCGGCGCCCTAGCGCCCTCTATCGGCCAGCCGCCACTGTATTTACGTATCAGCTAAACACATCATATGTTATAGCAATCTAGTGCCCGATTGTACAGTCGATGATGTGGCACACAGCCATTGGTTGGTGCATGCAACGTCTGAGCAGGGGAACGTGACCACATAAACACATGTAACCCATGACCTCACCATTGTCTCCGCTCCTGTTGTTGAGTTGTTTGGTGCTGCTCATGGCTGGGCTGCAGGGTTGAGCCTGGGGTGCAGTGTTGTAGAGGAAGACACAGACCAACCAGATTTTAGACAGTTGTACTCACATATAGGACACACACAGAGGATGTTGAATCATCTGGTGTTTTCTGGCTATATGGGACTTTGGACGAGTATGAATCCGTTGAGGTGAGAAATAGGTCAGGGCACATCATTATCTAAGGTTGTCATCGGTAATGGCTGTACAGCACATCATGACTGTAAACTCATATCAGACATGTTAATCCAACAGGCTAACATAACAGTCACACAGGTTATCACTTGCTTAACAATTGAATTATGACAGTTCAAAAAGCATGTGAAACATGATCACCCCCTCTTACACAGGCACACACCCATCAGTTGTCTAGAGGAATGCTCTGCTGGGGTCATATTACACATTTACTTTTAGGGTTGCACTAAAAATAATGGGCCAGCCTAACGTTAATATTATCAGCAGTTAGTATTTTCAGTTAATATTTTCAGCATGAATTCCAATGTCAAACAAAACAACTATAGCGTAGGCTATGTTTACACAGCATATTTCTTCAATCCGATTTTTGTCTGACTGTCCACACTCAGTTTGAAATGTGACCCATGTCAGAGTTGCGTGTTCACACTGATGTTGCCTCTGAAATAACACGCAGACGCAATGATCATTTACTGTCAGTGTTCCTTTAAATATCAGGTCACACTCCAGTGGATTATGTGGTGGCCACATGTATCTGTATGTAATGGTGAAACACACTTTATTTACAAGGCAGTTACTTGTCCATATTTTGTGTTTTGGGAACCTATATCTTGTAATGTCCCCACATTGTTCCAATAACCTAATGAAATGTTTTGGGAACCTTTAAAGAACAGGAAAAAACGGTTCTGTTTTTTTTTTTACACCTTTCCCAGAACATTCAAAGAACCAATTTTGGTTTGCTGGGTAGGCACTTGTTTCTTTAAATTGAGATTTTCTGTTTAATTCCTAACCATTACCCCAACCTTAACCATACCGAATGAATGCCCTCAAGGTCCTTGCGTCCTAGAAGTAATAATTTTGAAGAGTTAATAAATAAAGAGTACTTAGGTTTGCAGCAGATTGTGACAGTTTGAATGACATTGGCGGCTGCTTCCTAAGCAGTTGTAATGGCTTTGCTTAGAATGCGACGTGCAGTTGTAATTCTGGAGTTTGCATAAAATGTCTGGGGTGGTTGTCGTGGTAACGGCAGGTCGTGTGTGTGTGGGTGAGATTGCCTGGCTGGTGAGAGAGAGACTCTAGCGAAGAAGAAAAGTTGGTGAGGAGTTAAACAATCTGATCTGCATGTCCAGACTCGCATGCAGAGCACCGGAATTGTATCGGATTTTAGAACCAAATACAAATGACACAAATCGTAACTCAAAAGATCAGATTCCATGTAGTTTTTGTTGTTGTTTACATGTTTGGAAAAAGATCAGATCTGTATCTGATATGCCAAATAATCGGAATTGAGCTGGCTGTGTAAACGGGCAAAAGGTAGTAGAGCTACTTCTACAAGAGATTGTAGAACCAAGAGAATGTGACAAAAGTCTTTACACAAGAGTACTCATTACATAACTGTCTGCAAGTATCGTGAGGTGATCCACTGAGGATGATACTGGTGGTGGATATAAACTACTGTTCCTGTGTTGTCTTTTCAAACACATATTGGAGTCAGATTATTAACAGGTAGAGAGGTGATAATCTATCGATAATGAGGACAGTAGTAGAGAGTGAATATTAGGTACCAAACAGAAGAAAATGGTATACAGTACACAACACATAAAGTATACAACCATATCAACACAAAGACACTGCCTCTCACAGGCAATATGTGTATAGTCCTACAGTCCAGTGTGTGTGTGTGTGTGTGTGTGTGTGTGTGTGTGTGTGTGTGTGTGTGTGTGTGTGTGTGTGTGTGTGTGTGTGTGTGTGTGTGTGTGTGTGCTTACCACTCTGTGTTATGGTGAAGGGTTGGACACCACCACGCCAGTTGTCCTGTCTATTGTCTCACTGACTGACTGGGATTTAAACAGTCTGAGAAGGAGGGGAGTCACTGATGACCTTTGCACCGTGGAACTGTGCTGAGCCCAGCCTCTGACACTGTTGCTGTAAGCACCTCTGACATGCCCAGGCTCTCATACAAACACACACACAGATGTTTTGTTTGCCTAGTTTTTAACTTTACTACATAGACATGCCAATTCAATACAGGCTTTCTAACTGCAACTCTCTGATAAGAGTGCCATGGTCATTTTGATTTATAGGGGATAGTTCGATGAATTCATGGATACCATTTTTATGTCTCTGCAAGCAGTTTGGAGGTAGTCGAAGGTCGTTTCTGGAGCAATTGCTAACTAGCGTTAGCGCAATGCAGGAACTACCTTCAACTTCCTTCAAACTGCACGCAGAGACATAAAAATGGTATCTATGAGTTTATCGGACTCCGGGTAAGTAGAAAAGTTCTCAAACAATCCCTTTAAGTTTAGTATTTCTGACTTTATGTTTTTGTTTTTTTACCCCATATGTAACTCTGTGTTGTTTTTATTGCACTACTTTGCTTTATCTTGGCCAGGTCGCAGTTGTAAATGAGAACCTGTTCTCAACTGGCTTACCTGGTTAAATAAAGGTGAAATAAAATAAAATAAAAAGCCTCCATAAACAACCACACACAAGTTTACACTGGAACCACCCCAGTAGAGCTGCTGGTGAACTGTGACTGAACCTTTCACCCACTTTTATGGCAGGTTTATGTCATAGTAACAAAGTATAATGTCGGTGAAACAATTATACCACATACACCAGCCACTGGATGTACGTGTATGACACTGCAGTTATAGTCCATTTTATACCGAATACAAACCTATTTCCATTACAAACAATGCATGATAGTTTAAACCGTGATTCTTAAAACATGTACAATATACTGTGCAACAACAGGACATAGAGAACTGCAAATTGTGATATTACGTAAACATTCTGAGCAAACGATTGTGAAACGATTGTCCTTAGAACACCTGAACAAATGTTGTCTCCTATCCCAGATATAATGCTAAAGCTTCAGCTTAACAAGCAAATATGACTTGGGTTCAATAACACCAGGTTGGTTATGGATTCTCTTTTTCATGACAATTTTGACAATTGTCATATACATTGTGTTATAAGTATATGAACAATCACAGATTTTTTGGTGTGGATATCAGATGCTTTGCCAGTATATCACTTCTGTGTCTATGGATAGAGTGCGTCATCTAGTGGTTGACAAGGATATTGCATTTATTTTTCTATCAGAGAAGTTCAACTGCCACAGGTGTTGACCAGAGACTACAGCATCACCTAGTGGTGATTCTTCCTAACAGCATGCAAAACAGCACGCTGGCTGTCTACATGCACACACAACCTTTACCATTAATCTAAAACATGAATCAGATGTATGTGCCCCCTACTCTGCCTCCACCAGAATATCTGATAATAAGACTAATTAATAAAATGGGTGTGTCAACAATAGTCTTTGAAGAGAAATCCCTCTTCCCCAACGTATTAAAACACTGACTGAATACATTCATGTGTTAGTTAAAGAACCTTTATTTTTCTTCTGTTGCACCCCCTCTGTTCTTTTCCATACCTCTTCGAAATCACCAGGGGACTTTTTATGTCTGACATGCAATATAAGCATGATAATTACAATAGTATTGTTAACGGGCATACTTGCCGTTTATTCTGTAAACCACAGAACTCTGAGTTTCTCACACCAACATTGGCACAGGTGCTGAATTCCAATGGATCCTACATAACTGACTGAGAGGACGTTACCCTCTGGCCTTGTTCACTCCCCTTCTCAGATCTGAATAGGACTGTTCAGGTGAAAGCAACACGCTAGAAACTAGGTGGAGTTTTATTGCTTACACCTGCTGTACCTAGTTGCCTCAGATCAATGAAGGGGCGTGAACGAGGGCAGAGGGAATACAACATCCTCTTGAAGTGAAATGCTGCCAGGGTGTTATCAGAGCATAGGGAGGTTGTTCCAGTTTATATCCAGAATCCAGTGTATCTGAGAAATGCAGAAATACACATAGATTGGTGAAAGGTGTGTGGAAAGTAAGGTGAAGGCCATATGAATTGTTCCAGGAAACACACCTGTCGCGGCGGTCTGCCGGCAATTAGGCTCCTACCATTGATTGGCAGTTTTTAATTTATTCTCCTTCATCCACAGCGGTCATGAAGGAGAAGGACCAATGAGAAAGTGTGTCATCAAGAGCAGCGAGGCGTCCCTGAAGACTAGGGTTTAAAGTTGGATGTGTCACACTGTTGCCCTGTAGACAACCTATTAATCAACATGATCCCCATTGTTCTGGCCTCAGTGATCATCGCTAGCGCTAAGGGTCAGCCTCTATGTGCATGTGTGTGGACGTTAGACAGAGAATCCAACTGCAATCCTGGAGAGCTGAAGGGTGTGCAAGTTTTTGCTCCAGCCCAACACTGATATGCCTAATTCAACCTGATTCAACTATTAGTCCAGACTGGCAACTATGATTAGTTAATCAGTTGAATCAGGTATGTTTGTGCTGGGCTTTAACAAGAACCTGCACTGTAGCCCTCTAGGACCGGAGTTGGAGACACCTGTGTTAGAGAGAAAGACCTGACCCTGAACTGTCTCTCTGTCTACCCCCCTAGCACCCGTGTGGTCAACGGAGTGGATGCCAAGCCCCACAGCTGGCCCTGGTTGGTACTCTTACAACCCTATCTCCCTCTCTCTAAATACAATGATAATAATACTGGGTTTCATTTACATAGGGCACTTTTCCCCATAGGTCGTACTTCACACATCATATGTTTTTGTATGGAGTAGCTCGCTCAATCCACCCTCAGTCTTTCACACACTCACTTTCCTTTTGTCAAATTTATTTTTCTTTCTTTCTTTCTCTCCAGATCTCTCTGCAGTTTGAGAGGGACGGTGAGTGGAGACACCTGCAGAGGACTTCTGATTGCCATCAACTGGGTCATGACCACTGCTCACTGTATCAAGTAAGAGAGGATACACATTCACACATACACACAGTGCATCCAAAGAACACCTTTGCACACAAACACACACACGCACGCACAGGCAGACACACACACACTCAGACACAAACATAGCTTTCGGCTCATATATAACCACTGATCATTTGACCTTCTCCATCCCTCCCATGCATGGCTGTGAGCATGCATGTATCATGTATCTCTCTCTCTCTCTCTCTCTCTCGCTCTCTCTCTCTCTCTCTCTCTCTCTCTGTCCATCCTCTATTACATCACCGGTTGGGGCAGGCTCTCCAGTAAGCCACTATGTGTGTACGTAGGTGTGTGTGTGATGATAACTTTCATGTGTGTGCCTGTTGGGTAATTAACTACAGTGTGACATCAGGGTCTGATGCCCGGGATGGACCACGCCACCTGCTCCAAGCCCGACTGGTGGGGCCTCACTCTCAGGGCCACCATTAGTGTGTGCAGGAGGAGATGGCATTGTTGCTGGCTGCAACTTGAGTATCCATTGGGGATGGAAGAGGGAGAGAGAGACAGGGAGAGAGAGACAGGTAGAGAGACAGGGAGAGAGAGAGACAGGGAGAGAGAGAGACAGGGAGAGAGACAGGGAGAGAGACAGCGAGAGAGACAGGGAGAGAGATACATGGAGAGAGACAGGGAGCGAGACAGGGAGAGAGAGAGACAGGGAGAGAGAGACAGGAGAGAGACAGGGAGAGAGAGACAGGGAGAGAGACAGGGAGCGAGACAGGGAGAGAGAGGCAGGGAGAGCTACAGAGAGAGAGAGACAGGGAGAGAGAGACAGAGAGAGAGACAGGGAGAGAGATACATGGAGAGAGACAGAGAGAGAGACAGGGAGAGAGAGACATGGAGAGAGAAACAGGGAGGGAGAGAGACAGGGAGAGAGCGATAGGGAGAGAGAGACAGGGAGAGAGAGACAGGGAGAGAGAGACAGCGAGAGAGAGAGGGAGAGAGACAGGGAGAGAGAGACAGGGAGAGAGACAGGGAGAGAGACAGGGAAAGAATGACAGGGAGAGAGAGACAGGGAGAGAGAGAAAGGGAGAGAGACAGGGAGAGAGAGACAATGACAGAGACAGGGAGAGAGCGACAGGGAGAGAGAGAAATGGAGAGAGAGACAGGGAGCGAGAGACAGGGAGAGAGACAGGGAGAGAGAGGCAGGGAGAGCTACAGAGAGAGAGAGACAGGGAGAGAGAGACAGAGAGAGAGACAGGGAGAGAGATACATGGAGAGAGACAGAGAGAGAGACAGGGAGAGAGAGACATGGAGAGAGACAGGGAGAGAGATACAGGGAGAGAGACAGGGAGAGAGATACAGGGAGAGAGAAACAGGGAGGGAGAGAGACAGGGAGAGAGCGATAGGGAGAGAGAGACAGGGAGAGAGAGAAATGGAGAGAGAGACAGGGAGAAAGAGACAGGGAGAGAGAGACAGCGAGAGAGAGAGGGAGAGAGACAGGGAGAGAGAGACAGGGAGAGAGACAGGGAGAGAGACAGGGAGAGAGAGACAGGGAGAGAGAGACAGGGAGAGAGATACAGGGAGAGAGACAGGGAAAGAATGACAGGGAGAGAGAGACAGGGAGAGAGAGACAGGGAGAGAGAGAAAGGGAGAGAGACAGGGAGAGAGAGACAATGACAGAGACAGGGAGAGAGCGACAGGGAGAGAGAGAAATGGAGAGAGAGACAGGGAGAGAGAGACAGGGAGAGAGAGACAGGGAGAGAGAGAGACAGGGAGAGAGAGACAGGGAGAGAGAGACAGGGAGAGAGATACAGGGAGAGAGAGACAGGGAGAGAGAGACAGGGAGAGAGAGACAGGGAGAGAGAGAAAATGTAGTGTGTATGTGAACCATGTGTTTGTGCGTAAGCATACGTGTTGTTGTTTATTGTTTGTGTTTGTGTGTGTGTTAATGTGTGTGCACTTGTGCGTCTGTGTGTGCATGCATGTGAGTGTTTATGTGTGTGTGTTTGTTTTGTGTGCATCTGAC